ATTTCAAAGTCAATCTGCCCATCAGTCAGTTACGATATTGGGAACAATCAGCTCCAGCCCAGAGGGGTGCGTGACCCAAGTGACATGTGTGGGGCCATGGGTCTCATCAGCTCCGTGACACCCTGCGTGCTCCAGCTGTGGACGTGTCCCTGAGAGGCTGGGGCTGGAGGACCTTCCCCGGGATGGTGAGGTGCAAAATCCTTCCTGGGTATTGACAGGATACGTCCTGCCAAACTTGTGTTGCTTGTTGGTTATGTCTCTGGAAAGGCTCCCTTTGCCTAGGAAATGCTCCTGCGCTCACCACCGCCATGCCAGGCACCCGCTGGCTCCATCTTTCTGCCTCCTGGGCTCAGGAGCTGGAGGAGGGAGGCATTGCCCAGTGACATCCCCCGGGCACAGGGACTGGCACCTTGAACCCCTTCGGAACTGGGATACTTGATGTAGACAGACCCCTCGCCAGGGTTGTATGGGCTTTCTTGGCATTGGCAAGTGCAAGCACTGGAAGTTTCAAGCCCTGCGGGGTGCTCGGCCCCCCAGCCCGGCGGGGTGCTCGGGGCCGAGGGCTCGTGGTGCTCTGGGCAGGCAGGGCTGTCAGCTGTTGATCGGACGTGTGACTGAATTAGCTGTCTTCTCTGCTCCGGCTTTGTCCCCTGCCAAGAAGCTTTTTCTTCCCATTTTTTGTGTTTGAGCAATGCGATTAGTCCGCTTCCTTGGTCCTATTGACATGGGCAATGAAGGATTGTTTTCCTGAGCAGCTGTTGGTTTTTCTCTCAGTGGACTTCACTTTCCAATGAGCCTTTTCCAATTCAGGCCACCCCCAGGGCAGCTCCAGACGTCCGCCTGCGGGGACCTCACGCGGAGCGGCGCAGGGCTGCAGCACACTCATTTCCAGGGCATCACCCCTATTTCCGTATTCTCCTTCCAGCTTCCCCAGGCAGAGGTTTGGGGGATCCGCCGTGGCAGCGTGAAGCAGTCCTGCTGCGAAATGACTTATTTAGTCAGATGTCCTGAATTGCTGCATGTGTGAGGGACGAGGCAGGGGTTAGGACACATTTCCTCACCCACAGGAAGATGCTGTTTGGTTGTGGTTTGAGACAGGAGGATGAATTCAACCAGGTGGGGCAGTGGAAGTGGCATCTGAAGCTCAACAGATGAAGACCCAGGGGAAATGGAAACGTTTTTAGGCTACACTACAGGTAAATCAGGATGGAGACATTTGAGGGACAGAACGAGGTGCACGGAGCAAACCCAGGCTCAGGCCAGCGCTGCTGGCTGCCCCGTGCAGGCAGGATGGGTGCTGGGGGTGACACACAGCCGGGGACAGCCATCCAGAGGATGCTGTGGCTGAGGATGTGGGGAAATGAGCTGCAGAGCAGTGCGGGTGTCCCATGTGGAGGGGAAGCTGCAGCACTGGAAGTACTTTGTGGTGGCAGTGGAGGGGAAGCTGCAGCACTGGAAGTACACACTGGTGGCGTGTTTGAGCCCTGAGGTGGTGCTGAGGACTCTGCCTGCCACCTGCCTGCTGCTGCCTGCTGCGGGGACTGGGCTGCCACTCCAGCAGCGAAACTCCTGCATGCGTTTCTAGAGGATGGAGGAGCTGCCTTAGAATAGCACATGCCGCTGTGGGCTCATGCTTGGTTTATTTGAAAAGTGCTGGAAACCAGTGCAGCCTTCTGCTGTCATGCTCTGAATTTATTTGTTTATGAATTGCTCTTCTCTATCAGCATGTGTGCAGTGACTGAAGTTGCACAGGTTCAGCTGTGTCCAGTCTGAAGCAAATATCCTTAAAATAAACACAGGAGCAAGCCTGAAGAATGCTGCCACAGCCCTTAATTTTTACTGTAGACCTTTTCCTTCCCCTCTTGACTCCACTGTAATGAAATAAAGCATCTTATTTTCTTCCATTGCCAGGGGCCCTAACTAAAAACAACCCCCTGCTGATCTCTGCTGCTCAGAAACAGGGAGTTTTATTGGCTTTAGTTATTGCATTGTATTCAGAGCCTTGTATGTGGGTGAGTGAGGCCCCCAGAGGGATTCAACAAGTATTTGCATTCCGTTTGTGTCTTCCGAGTGCTGGCTGCTGTCGTACTTAAGGCAGAGATACCAGATGTGTGATCCAGAGCTGATGTGGCTTTTTTCTGTGGAGGGAAGGCAAGATCTGGAAGATGGCCCTGGGACAGAAATTGCAGGATGTCATGGGAACTGACCCATGGACGAGGCTTCTTTCCCTCGGCTAGCAGAGCTCCGCTCACGCAAGTACGCTGGCTGTGGGTATTTTGATCCCTGATGTATCTCAGGACCGGTTTGTACAGCCCGGCGAGATGCCTCCTGCAGCCCAGGGAGACTGGACCTGCTGGGGACGGTGAGAAGCCCTGGCCCGGGGGGATGCTGTTGGGTATCCTGGCTCTCGCCTCCATCCCCTGGTCAGTAACAAGGCTGGCTTCTGCCACGTTACACCCCAGCTTTGGGTGCTGTGCCATAATGGAGCTCTTCGGGATTTCAGCAGCTTTCCTTTCCACTTTGGAGACAAGGGGTCGTTTTCTCAGCAGTCAAGCTGCAGCTGCTCCGTAGGGGATAACGACTGCAGCAGAGGTTTTGGGGGGGATCTTCTCTGGCTTTGTGTTGAGTCCCACACTGGGATTTTTGCCTCATTTTAAATTCTAGTGAATTCTGTAGATCAGCCAAAATCATAAAAATTCACATTATCGCTGGCTAAAACTTGGCCCTTGGGTTTCCACCGCTCGGCAGCCCTGGCTCACGGTTGGGTTGTGCATCACAGCTTGGCCCCGCATACAGCAGCAGCCAGTCCTCAGCTGACAAGAGAGGGGGAAAAGCAAACACTTGGCTAAGAGAAGCTATAAAACTCAGTGTTCCTGAGCTAATTAGTATTTTGGGAAAGTGACAGGAAAGAGAATCAAGCAAAGCCAAGGTCAGCGGCTGCTAATTAAGAATCAGCACCTTGTGTCAGCCTGAGCTGTGGCTTGGAATTGAAACGTACCCCGGGAGAGACCCAGGAAGATAAAGATGATAGAGTTACCCAGATAGAAGCTAACAGGATTTGAGCAGGGGTTTAAAGTTTCATTCCAGCTTGGCTGATAAAAGGGGCAAAATGAGAGAAAATAGTGGGGGGAGGCGTGTGCTTTGCTTCCAGGACGGATTTTTGCCTCTGCAGCTGCCGGAGCATTGCAGACGTAGCGGGATCTGAGGAAGGAGATCTTCTGGCTAAAGAAATAATGGAAGTGACTTTTTTTTCCAAAGCTCCTCTGGCTTTTTTGGAGGCTCTTCTGGGAAGGTCACAGCAGCATGTCAGTCCCAGTCATGGTCTTGTGGGAAGGCGGGAGGGATCGGGCCGTTGGGTGCTGCAGAGATGCCAGCCTTCCTGCCCTCCTTCCCTGTTCTCAGATGGGAGACGTACCTGCCTGCCACCTGGATTTTCCTTTGTCTGGGACAGAAGCAGAGTAATGAAGGGCCTGTGGATTAAATGATTTGGGTCTGTTGGGTTCAGGTGGAGCTGTTGGTTGAACCTTGATTAAACTTTCAATGCACAGGCATCCATATGAAAAATGAAATGGAGCTAAGTGCCTCTCTTGCAAATCTCCCGGACAGCAGCTGGCAGGGAATGGGACCTGACTGTCCCCTCTGCCAAGTCTGGGTTGGAGCAGGCTGGGTCATGGCCACAGCACTTCGGGGGGCTCTGGGAGCTGTGCTTCGCGTGGGGACGGCAAGGACAGGACCTGGGTCCCTGCATGGCAGCTCTGGGGTGCTCCTGCTCCCCCTGCCAGGAACAGGTTACATCTGGTACGGTCATGACAAATGAAGGAGAATTTCTTAGTGAAAGGTTATTAACTGAGCAGATTATTTTGTTTTAGAGGAAGGCGGTTTAAAAAAGTGCCCTTGGTTGTAGAGGTGAATTGTATGTCAACATTGCTCTGTCTTCTGCATGGGGAAACAGTAAGAGGTCTAATGCATGTGATTTACGTGGTGCCAGCAGCCTGTTTCCCTTTGTCGTCCAGGTGAGTGGTGCTGGGTGGGAGGAGGTCGACCCTTTCAGCACTCAGCGCAGTGAGGAGCTGGGCAGGGGCCCAGAGCTGCTTTTCCCATTAGCAGTGCAGAGAACAGAAGCTGAATATGTATTAGCATTAAAAACTGCATGGCATTTCTCCTGCATTAACGCTAGCTACAGCACACTAAATATTACACCATGTAGCGGATTTTCAGCAGAATGCATGGGGAGCTACGTGACCCTCTCTGATCAGTTAACACTGTTGCTGAGGCAGACACGGAGCTCGGTCTGAAGTGCTGTTTTTCTGTTAGAATTTGCAGTTCAGTAGCCCAGACTGATGCACGGGGCAGCTGTCAGCATGAGGTCTGCTCCTGCTCACCCCTTCCATTGCTCTGCAGCACAGAGGATTATAAAATTGCATGCTATTTGGTTGTGTGCACATCAGATCAAAAATGTGCCCAAAATGTGTGCTGTAGCAGTGCTGTTTATTTCCTTGAATACTAAGGAAATAGGACATTTGAGCATCTTGATGCATATTACAGGATTGATTCTCAGCTGTTAACTGTGGGGCACAGCTCATGACATCTCAGTATGCCCCTGTTTTGCAACCAGTGCAGTTAAACACCAAACGCAGCCAATTTAACAGTGGAGAAAATGTTTCATCCACAAAACGTGAGGCTGATACGAGACCCAACCAAAAACCAGCACTGATGGAGGGGCGAATATGGTGCAGGCCTGGAATGAGTCATTTTTTGGGGTGCAAAAGTTGTGACTCTCCAGAGATTTATCTCTCCTCTTGTCTCCATGAGGCTGGAGAAACAGGAGAAAAGTCGGGCTGGTAGTAACGCAGCATGCACACACAGGATCACCCGCAGTATCTCCACTCCCTCTTGTGTCTTACGAAGGTGAGACCTCTCTGGAGAAGGGGAGGCTGCCTGTTCTGCTGAACAAAGCATATGTCAGTATGTGGTGACCCACTGTGGGCTTTGCTTTCCAGGATTTCTTGACTGACCTGATGATGTCTGAAGTTGATCGCTGTGGTGAGAATGAGCATCTCATTTTCAGGGAGAATACATTGGCCACCAAAGCAATCGAAGAATACCTGAAGCTGGTGGGGCAGAAATACTTGCAAGATGCCTTAGGTACGTACAGAGCGTTGGCAGGTCTCGCCCAGAGAGGTCCTCCTCTAAGCTGCAGGGTGCTCTGCGTGGTGGAGATCATCAGCTGAGCCCTGATGTCCATAGGAGGCACCAGCGTTTACCTGCTGGAGGGTTTCTCTGGCAGCGGGGTCCGAGCCTGGGGCACAGCCACAGCTGCAGCGGGCAGCTCTCTGCTCCCAGGTGAAGGTCACTGCTGAGTTAGCGCTTTAATCTGCTTTCAGAGGAGATAACAAATTGATATTTGAAAGCATTATGCTGCCTGCCAAATCTTCTGTCTCGGCGCTGGCAGTGTCATGGAGGCTGATTGAATCCTTCCCCTGATTGCACACCCCCGCCGGAGACGCTCCCCCGGTTCCTTGCAGCACTAGTGAGTCAGATGAAATCTCCCAAGTTACAGTGATGAGAGTTGCCTCCCAGATCACACTGGGAACCCTCCTGGTGGTTTTTTTTTTAAAGTGCTGGCTATGTTTATGGCTCCAAAAATATTTCTCTTGATGCAAATGAAAATAATTAGAGCTTCTGCTTCTGGGCAGGTCAGGAAGGAATTGCTGTGTTGCTGTGTGCAGCCAGCACAGCACGAGGATGGGGAGAGGCTGCCTTTGAAGCATTGTGTCTGAACCTCAGCCAAAGGCAGCTAGATTGGATCCACATCCTAGCAGTAGGATGAGCAGAGTTTCTATTGAGCTGTTAATTTTTCAGTATGTTGGGTTCCTACTAATGGATTTGTGTAATGTTAGCAAGGAGCAAAGTACTGTAAATACTTTATTAAGATAATAATAATAATAATGACAACATTGAGGAAGGGGAGATCACTGAGCAAATTTAGTCAAACCAAGAGATAGCCCACAAGAATAGGAAAAGGAATATTATTTATTTCTGCCTTGTAATGCTTTCTGATTGAAGGCAAGTCTGTAAGTAGATTACCTCATAAAATTTCTAAAAAGCCAGGAGATTAGTGAAGGCAGAGAATTTTGAAATATTCCCCTTTCAGGGCTCAATGCAAATGCTGCCAAGCCAGCTCCATCTAGTACAGGAGGAGCCTGCGGTTCTTGCTTGCTGTTTGGGGCCCTGATTCTGTGTAGACCTTTTATCAGTGAAATGATTCATCTGTGTGTCACAAGGGAACACAATACAGCATAGCGCTTTCCTTTAAACCATGAAGCACAAGCAAGTAATAGGGCCGGATAGTAACAGCAGGCATCACCTGCAGGCGAGCAGAGAGGCTCCAGAGCTCCCTGGCAGAGCTGAAAATACATTGGAGAGGCTCTCCAGTACGTAATTAAAATCTGTTTTGGCAAGAGGGGAGGAATGCAGACTAGAGCGGGCAAAAAACAGGAGGCTGGGAAAATCCAAGACAGTCAGGAATTAGGAGATGAGCAAACCAACTGGAATTAGAAGAAAACCAAAGCAAACCTATCTCCCAGAACATCACCCGGCCCTGCAGGTCTGTAGCTAAATGCTCTCTCTTAATCCCCATTATCCCGTCCCCGGGTCTCCCCAGCCACTGCTGTGTGCTAACTGGGATGGACGACGGTAATCCCCCCCAGCTGGACACATGCCGAGGTGGTGGGAAGCACCCTCAGCCCGGGCAGCAGGGGTCTGTGCCCGGGTACCCCAGGGTGAAAGGTGGCACGAAGGCGAGGAGCTGGCAGAGCAGGCCCACAATGTGAGTCTCCACAAGGGTGAGGAGCAGCCAGGCAGCAAACAGGAGTGCAGGGAAACTCAGAGAAATATTTTAATTTAATTTTGTGTGATGTTCAGCTCAAAATAAACCAAGTAAATTGTTTCTTTCCTTTAATTACCTATTTCTCCTGTGAATCACGCTGGCTTGTCAGCGCCAGGGCACAGTCTGCAGTAGCAGGACATCCTACAAATAATTACAGAACTTGCCAGCGTACTTCCTACTGGATTAGCCCAAGGGAGCGTCTCTGGAACTGGTGTAATGGGGGGTCAGGGCAGGCTGAGGAAGCGGGTGTTTTGGCAGCAGGGTTCTGATGCAATAGCCCATAGCCACAGAGGCAGAGCTGCCAACTGGGGAAGAGGGATGAAACATGCTCGTTGGGAGTCTGGGTGCCTTTCTGCAGGGTGTGCTGTATTGTTTTGTGAGCTCCCAAGGCAGTGCCGGCTGCTCCTGGGTCCGCTCGGAGATCTTGAGAGCTGGTCTGGGGCACAGCCTGCCCCGGGAGCCACCACCACCTGCTCTCGTACCCAGCTTCTGTTCAGCCAGTGTGATGGGGCGTAGGGTAACTGCTCCAGCACTGGGGCTTACGAACAGTCTCGCTTGAAGACTGCGTGTCTCATGTCTCCAAAACCTGTCACCGACTGTCTGTTTTACAGGGGAATTTATCAAGGCTCTGTATGAATCAGATGAAAATTGTGAGGTGGATCCCAGTAAGTGTTCGTCTTCGGACCTTCCTGAACATCAGAGCAACCTGAAAATGTGCTGCGAGCTGGCCTTCTGCAAAATCATCAACTCCTACTGGTCAGTATCCCGCGAGTGTCGCTCCCCTCCGCATGCCCTCAGCTAGCGCAGAGGCGGTACAGCTGCAGGGGACAAGGGTGGCAGCAGTCCCATCTTCAGGCTGTTGGTACCTGTCCCTTAGCTGCGCTGATGGGCAGCTTGTCAGAGAGCTTTAGAGGGAGAGCTGCGGGGCCCTGCCCGCGTCCCGCAGTACATAAGGGGGTCCTGGTGGTCCAGGAGCAAGGGTGGGGATGGCCAGGGGGTGAGAGAGCAGCTCCCGCTCAGCCGGAGTTTGGAGTATCTGCTCTGGGGGTGCGACAGACTCACTGATTCCCCATCACGCTTGTTTTCAGTGGGTGCTGAAGGGTTACTGGAGCTCAGACACAGGGATGGGGCAGTGGAGTCAAGGAATACAAAATGCCTTTGCCAGTGTGACCAATTCAGAGAGGGACTTCATGCCAACTGTATATGGAAGTCTGGAATAAAGGGCAGAAATGCGTGTCCCGGGTCTCCTACCCATGTAACCATTCAGTCTGGATCAAACTGATGGACTCTGCCTGCCTCCCCAGAGCACCAGGTGAAGTTTTGAAATCCTCTCTGCAGCAGGCAGGGTCTGTGGCACTCCTCCTGCCTGCAAGGAAGCTGCACCAGCACAGGGAGCTTTTGTTTAGGCAGATGTTCTCTTGTTGCAGAGTGCTGGAGCCTGGGAGGATGCTGCTGTTACTCCCGGGTTGCTGTTTGGCTCAGCATCCTGCATTCCTCTGGGTTAACCCCTTTCTCTCCGAGCCCCGGGGTGCTTGCTGAGGCAGAGACAGGGAGCCCATTGCCTCCTTGGCCCGAGGCCTGGTATGCAGTTTGTGGCATTTCCTAGTTGTTTGTTCTCAGGGTAAAGGTTCTTGCAACTAGTTGGAACAGGCCCGAATATGGAAAATTGATTGGAGTAAGGTGGTCGTATCTTGTTGTGGAGGTGGCTGTCAGGCCTGGCTGTGCGCATGGTGTTACCTGCTGCTCAGCCCTGGGGACTGGGAGCCAGGAGTCCTTGGGTCTGTTACAGATGCTGCCTGCAAAGATGACCTGAAAGGGGAAAAAATGGGCTTGTGACCCTCTTTACTTGGAGAAATAAAAATATTTTCTTTCTGCTTCTTGCTAACATACCCAGAGACTCTTGTCCTGATCATATGAGAGAATGATCATTTTTGTCTTACTGCTGGATTTGCAGTCTTTCTGCTTAGAAGTCTGGACCTAGTTTTTATTAATGTATTTAGTAGCAGCACTGTTGTTGCAAAACATCAACTAAGGGTAATATTGGAGGAAGGAAGTATTTGATAATAAAAAATTCTCATTTTTTCTCCTATCCCAGCTGTTGTGTTGAGGCCTGAAAACTCATTATAGGTAATCTCCCAGGATACTGAGTGTGCCCTCCTGCAAGCCCAGGAAGGGAATTGCTTTTCTTGATATTGCTGAGGGAGAGAACAAGCAGTGAGAGACTCACTCAGACTTCCTTTATCTACCACAAATAAGCAAGGGGCAGATCTCTTCACAGGTATCCTATACCTTATCCTGGGCCAATTAATAACTCTGACTCAGGAATGGCGTTTACCTGCTCTCCCAGGAGGGATTCACTGCTTTTAGTCACCAGTGGATTATAATTGTTTGAATTAATGTCTTCCTAAAAATACCTAAAGCAGCACTAAAAGGTTGCTCTAAAAATAGGCTGGAAAAGTGACCTAAGGAAAGTCAGGAATGCACGGGAAGTTTGTTCCCCCAGTCCTGCCTTTCCGCAGATCTCTTCACAGGTATCCTATACCTTATCCTGGGCCAATTAATAACTCTGACTCAGGAATGGCGTTTACCTGCTCTCCCAGGAGGGATTCACTGCTTTTAGTCACCAGTGGATTATAATTGTTTGAATTAATGTCTTCCTAAAAATACCTAAAGCAGCACTAAAAGGTTGCTCTAAAAATAGGCTGGAAAAGTGACCTAAGGAATGCATGGGAAGTTTGTTCCCCCAGTCCTGCCTTTCCGAGGAAGGCTGGAGCAGCTGAGCTGCTGCTCTGAGTGGTTCCCCCTCGGTCCTTTGTGCTCAGCGGTTCTTGGGAATTAATTGGGCTGATGAGTGTTCGGGATTGGCCAAGGTATCCTGACAGCTAACGATCTTGCTTTAAATAGAGTGCCAGAGTGTGCATGCTTATCTGCCGGAGAGAGTCAGAGAGAGGAAAGAGGTTTACAATAACTGAAAATTGTTATAATTATGACATAATTTGGACATCTGGAAAGTTTCAGTGTAAGCAGAAATTCAGCATGTGGAAGCTCGTTACTGGAAAGTTGGGTAATGAATTACGGGCCCGTTTGTCACATAAAGCCGGCTAACTGAATTCCATCCGCTGTTACACAATTAAACTTTTATGGTCTCCCAGCCTGTGATAGTGAACAGTACTCACGGGCTGTATGCAGCCGGTGCATACATTTTCAAGGGTTTACTTTCCAGAAACTGCACAACCTGTCCTGATCATTCAAGCCTTAAATTGCTTAAAGGATTCTGCTGTTTCTGGGCATATACCATGAAGTAACAGGGCTTTGTCCAATTGTATGGATCAAGCCAAAGACAGAGGAGAATTTATCCAGCCAAAGACGTTGGCTAATGTTATTTATAAAGCACAGGGTAAAAGCTCATGTGTGTGAAAGCACGAAGCCAACACAGAGCAGAAGTTGAACATGATGGCAGCATTTCCTGAGCACTTCCATGGAGTGTCACCGCCCATGTCAGAAGGACAGAGAGAAACCTCCTGGAAACCTGGAGCGCAGCTACGTGGGCCTCTGTATGCAGCAGTGCCGTGCTGAGCGGGCTGCCTGGGGCGGGAAGCACGTGGCGGGGTGCCCACTGACTGGGATTAACAGCAGCAGCCCCAGACCTGGGGCGTGCGGCCGGGCAGTGTGGTCTGCAGCTGGCAGATTAATGAAATGAGGGGTGAGGGCTCTGCCTGCTGAGCGTGCGCGCTGCTGGCTCAGAGAATGGCCGCGGAGCTAGAGGCCACGGCCATTTGGCTGCAGGGTACATGCCACTCTGACAGACCACAAACCCCGCAGGTCCTGAACTCTGCAGCTGTGGTGAGGAGCAGTCAGTTGGTCTTGATGAAGTGAGTGTCCGTAGCCCTGGGAAGCAAGAGGCCGGAGGACGGGGAGTGCTGGCAGCAGGAGGAGCACCCTTGTATTCACCCGGAGGCCTGGTGGTGCTGCCGCAGGGGCAGCGTGCATGGGTGGGTTCTTCGCTCTGAATGCTCCTCAGTTTCGGAGCTTCCCACCTGGTTCTTGCTGCTGGTGGCCAGCGGACAGGGTCTCTGGCCATGCAACTCCCATGGTTTTCTCTTCTTCCTGACTCGTGTGAGGTTCAACCACAGGGCAGTCAGTCCCAGAGAGGGGGCAGGCCAGTGAGAAGCCAGCTGACATTGCTTTGCTTCTCCCAGATAGTCCCTGCAGCAAAACTGGGAAGCCGTCCTCTGAAATGGCTGTTTGTTAAGGAGATTTATGGCCTAAAATGGAGTCTGACCCCTCTTCAGTCTGCTTTTGTACCATCCAGCCCTGTCGGTAAACAGCTCTGGTTTTGAAACAAAGATGGTGGTTGCTGGCCAGGGCAGCCTCCGGGGCAGGTGGGGAGCTGTGTACCAGGGGCCCAGGGGACCAACGGCAGTGGGACGTGGGCCCGGGGGCCCGGGGGACCCACGGGCGGGGCGGGGGCCCCCCCTGCCAGCCTGCCTCCGCGGGTGGGAGTATCCAGCTGAATAAATAACACATGCTGGGAACAGGATAAGGTGGGAGCAGGGAGCTGGGGAGGGCTGAGCAGAAACAGGCAGCAAGTTCTCTGGCGATAAGGGCTGCTGCAGCGAGCGTCTGCTGGACCCGAGGAAATTCTGGTATCCAGGAAAGCCAGGCTGACGTCTGTGCAGTTACAAGGCTGGAGTAACTCTGGTGGGGCTCCGCGTTTGTACTAGTCACAGTGGGATTTGATCCAGGTGCTTGAACAGGAGTATTACAATTTGCACAGCCCTCCCTCCAAGCACCAGCTGTGCCGGTGACGCCGGTACTGCTGGTGTTTCTGCTGAGGGGGTCCCACGATGCTGTGTTTTTTCAGGAGACACACTCCACCTTGGTGGCTGAGCTTCCCCCCAGCTCGTAGTGCCCCATGACAAAGCCAACTGAGTTGCGCTGAGCTGCTTTGCACACTTTGTTTCGTATCTCTGTCTTCCTGGTTGTCTGGGGTTTTGGCACCCAGCATAACCAGGAACATTAGTGTGATGAAAGCTGCTTCTCTTACAACTTTATGGAGAGGCTTTGCTTTTTCCTGTGCGGTTTGAGTCTCTTAATAGACACTCTGCAATAAAAAAAGGACAAGAGCCTGCGACTGGTGTAGACAGCAGTGCTGCTATGGATCAACAGGGTGAGAGGGCTCTACTGTTGTACAGGTCTGGGGGTCGCACCCCATGGCTGATATGCACCATGTTTAGTTACTGCTGTGTGGCAGTTTGAACACCCTGGCCTTGAACTTGCCATCCCTGCATGTCCTTCTGTCATTTCAGTGTCTTCCCGAGGGAGCTCAAAGAAGTTTTTGCCTCATGGAGACAAGAATGCAGCAACCGAGGCCGCCCAGACATTAGTGAGCGACTGATCAGTGCCTCCCTATTCCTCCGGTTCCTCTGTCCGGCCATCATGTCCCCGTCCCTCTTCAGTCTCCTGCAGGAGTACCCAGATGACCGCACTGCGCGCACTTTGACCCTCATTGCCAAGGTCACCCAGAACCTCGCCAACTTTGCCAAGTAAGCCGGGGTGCAGGAGCAGGAGGGGGCAGGTCTGGAGAGGGGGAAGGAAGCTCCGGGTGTGTAGGCAGAGCCACGGCTCCGGCGTCAGGAGACCCACACTGACTGCTCCTTTCCTCGGTGGAAAGGGCCTGTTTGTTTCCTGTTGGCTTTTTCCCCCACGTCTCTCTGGGACCCATTCCCTCACTGTTAGGTCAGGGAGATCATTTAAGTTTCCAAAACAGGACATGTTTTACGAGCAGGAAAACAGGCTGTTTTGACCACACAGACGAGCAGGCAGGGTGGCAGCAGGAACGCCCCGGCACAGCCAGGCACCTTGTCCTGTGATGGCTGTGCGGGGCATGGCTGGTGGCGGTGCACTGCCCACCTCCCATCACAGGCACCAGCAGGACCAGAACCCAAACAGCAGCAGTGGTGTGCATAGCTCAGGAGCTGGTCTTTCCCTCCTGTGAGCTCCGGGACCTTCCTTGCTATTAAAATGCAGTTGTCTGAACTGGGAAGGTATGAAAAGAGAATGGGGACACTATCAATTTCTAACTAAGCCCACTGGTTTGATGGAAACAAAGCGGGAGATTCCTGAAAATCTTTCCACTGGCTGCAGCTCTGAGCTACTTATCCTGAGCTCTGATAACAAAACGATGAGCTTTCTGAAACATGAATGGACAGTTTCCATCTAAAGCTTCTTAGATTTGGAAACTAGCTTAGTACACACGCTCGCAGTCAGGAATGCGCGTACACGCACGCAGATGGAGACGGAAGACATACAAGTGTGTTACACTAGATGACAGAAATTCTCTATATTCCTGACCAATCCCTAACTAAAGGGTTTTCAGATATTCAGCACTTTGCAGGAAAGACTCTTTAACTAAGCTGACATTCGTCAAGCCAAAGTGATCAAGCAGAGCTGTCCTGCAGATGGCACGCAGCCGAGCCTCTCCTCACAGACTCGCTGTTACTGGCACAGCACCAACCGCTGCTGGTACAGTTGAACCACGAGGGCCTCCCTGTTGTGCTCTAAATAAGACATCTAACTGAGAGCGAAGTCTGGGTGGCGTGCTTGGAGGGCAAAAGGAGGTTGCAGGAAGCCCGCGGGGACAAACGGGCTGGCCCAGCTGCATTTGTGGCTCTCCAGGGTGATCCCCAGAGCAGTTGTGCCAGGGCAGCAGCAGCCGGCATGGCTGGAGTTAGCTTCAGTGCCCGTGGAAGAGTGGGGAGAGTGCAGGATTCCTACCACCATCATTCACTGGGCTTCAGTCAGTTGATGGTGCTTGGTATTACGATTTCTTTATTTCCAGTGACAGGTCCTATTTCTGGAGGCTGTGCCCTGACCCAGCAGTAAGATACACTCCATTACCAAGAACAGCTTTGTTTCTCTAGCTTTCACCTTCATTTCTACTGCGGAGATCCCATGCTGACGAGGACTTAGCTGGATTAGGCTGGAGTTAATTTTGGTTCCATGTTCAGTGAGGTACCAGGTGCCTGCTAGCAACCTGATGATCCCAAAGGCTTTGAAGGGTTCAAACGCCAGAGGAAGGCTCTGGCATTCTTACCTGCGTAGGTACCTACCTGTTCTGTTGACTGCACTTCTGTTTACAGGATTTAGCTGAAATTTGTATTGCTGTCTTGATAGGTTTGGCAGCAAAGAGGAATACATGTCCTTTATGAATCAGTTCCTGGAACATGAATGGACTAACATGCAGAGATTTCTACTGGAGATTTCCAATCCCGAAACCATCTCAAACACAGCTGGCTTTGAAGGCTACATTGACCTGGGCCGGGAACTGTCCACTTTGCACTCACTACTCTGGGAAGTCATTTCTCAACTGGAGCAGGTATCCGGGGGGGTTGCAGAGGCAGGCTTTGGGGTGAGCGCAGTTGGCCAGTGCTGGGCATACGCATCACACCACACAGCTCCCCATGTCCAGCAGGTATCAATCCATTAGCTGTATCTGTGCACAGCGCAGCTGTTACTAACCCTTAGCACTTCCCCAGCCTTTGCACATGCTGCAGAAGTAGCTCATTCTTTACATCCTTCTTTGAGGCAGGTGAGTATAGCTCTTTCCCTCCTCTGCTGTTTGTCATTGCGGGGTGAGGATGGAGAGGCAGGTGGGATGAGAAGGCAGAGCTGCTGAACACCGGGATTTTGTCTGTCCCAGCAGATTCAAAAGGTTTCTTTTTAATTAAAAGGATTTTTGTCAAGAGCCCTGGACCAGGCTTGGCTATAGCTGTCGTCTTCTGTATCTGAACTTTGTTAATCACGCTTGTTTCCTCTGCCCCACAGCAGCAAATGGTTTCTAAAGCCACATGTTCTGGGACATCCCATAGCCTCAGCGGTGGGGGTAAATGACGGAGAAAATGAATGTTGTTAATGTGATTCACTGAAGAGACTGTCCAGCAACTGGCAAAGCCCATAGTTCTCTAGCAAAAATACAAGATGTTGGTAGTAATTCTGCTCTATTTTCTGCCCAGGGCACTGCAACAAAGCTTGGGCCTCTGCCTCGGATCCTGAGGGATGTCAACTCGGCACTCAGTAACCCGGCCTGTGTGCAGGTCTCGGTCACGGCCGATCACACTGCATCCACGCCTAATGCTGGCAACAGCATCTCTGCGGGGCTACAGAAAATGGTGATAGACAATGACTTATCTGGGTAAGAGCATAAAAGGTGGCCTGGCCACAGACCAGGGAAATACTGAATATTCATCTATTGCCAACACCTGGGCACCTGCAGGGACAGGCAGGACAAGGTGTAGTGTGGAGTTGCCTGATCCATTGACTAGGCTTTCTGATCACAGAACTGATCCTGGATGTAGGTCAGCTCTGAATCTAGACAAAGCAGTGGGCAGTAGCACAAGCACACAGCTCCATCCTGGGTCCCTTGTGAGCCAAAACTGGGGATGTGGTCTGGGAAATCACAAATTTGGAGGTTCTGGTCTCAGATGTTGAGATGTAGCTGCAGAAGCAAAATGCTCATCCCTTGAGGGCTTGTTTGCCTCAAAGTGATGGGTATCGCCATTAAATTCATTAGCTCTCTGAGCATGCAAGATTTATAGGATTGGCCTTATCCATCTTCGTAAGACATAGGGTGTGTGCTGAATTCACTGAGATCCAAATCTGGACATTTCTCTAAGAGTTGCCAAGCTGTAGAGCCTCAGCAATCAATTCCAGTCTACTCTGTCCAGTTTTTATAAAACTGGGTGTTTTTAATGATGAGCAGTGATTCACAGACACAGTCACCTAACATACTGTTTGGCCTAATTATGTAAGGAGTTTCATTCATGGGGAAGATGACTCTGTTACGGACCTATAATGTTTCTGTTTGTGGAAAATGAAATGGAGCCCACACAAATGGAAAGACTGCTGGTAAAATAGTTTGTAAGTGGAAACTACATAATATTTAACAGGTTAATTAGGAATGAAAGGCAGCAATGGTGCTGGACTTGCTCTAATCAGAGCTGTCATCTCTAATGCTTCCCAGCGTGAGGTACAATTACTTAAATCTAACGCTATGGAGGATCTCTGACAACATGCTTTCACCCAAATACTTGCTTACAATGCACCATCTTTGATCAGCGGTATATTCACATTAAGCTACTGCAGAGCGCTTTCTTCCTATCCCCAAGAAATCAATATTGCATGAATGTATGTTACAGCAGGAGGAGTGGGTGGATAACCTTCAGTTGCTAGGCTGTTAGGGCTCTCTGTCTGACCCTTGGAGGCCTAGTGTGGATCAGGCCCCCATGGTGCTCCGTGCTGTTAATCACGCTGTACAAATATTGGCCTGCGTGGCCTCAGGAGCTTACTGCCCAGGTACAGAGCAGCAGAAACGAGAGTGGCATGGATACAGCCAGTTGGAAGCAGAAAGGGTGACACGTGCCGTCAGCGTGATGAGCAGATCCAGCCGGGGCGGCAGAGCCCCCGAGAGCGTGTCTGTGAATGCCTCCTGCACGGCGCAGCGCTCTCGCCACGCATCCGCACGCCCCTTGCTCACCTGCCTACCCCTGCCTGTTCCTGCAGGGCTGGCCCAGGGCTCCTCTGCACCCCTCCGTCCTCTCCACTCCCCTTGCACTGTCCCTCCCCACAGGCAGACCTGGCTGGGCCAGCCCTGCCGCAGGGGCTGGGTTATGTCCCCGTCCCGCACAGCAGTGCCATGCTGATTTCTTCTGAGTGATTTCGTTTTCCTGCTCCAGTGCAGTATTCACAACTCTTCTTTTTTGTTTTGTTTTCCTCTCCTTTTCCTTATGCACTGAATTCCCCGCAGTCTGATAGATTTCACACGGTTACCATCTCCAACCCCTGAAAACAAGGACTTGTTTTTTGTCACAAGGTCTGCTGGGGCCCAGCCCTCGCCTGCCCGAAGCTCCAGTTACTCAGAGGCCAATGAGCCCGACGTGCAGATGTCTAATGGCAGCAAGAGTTTGTCCATGGTGGACTTGCAGGACAATCGGCTCTTGGACAGTGGGGCCAACGCGCCTGGCACGGCTGACTCCCTCAATGACAGTCAGTCGTCCCTCGGGCAGTTGCAGGGCGTATGGACTGCACGGACTCAGCAGAACAGCGTGACGGGCATGGCCACCGTGCGCCGGGTGGGCCAGACCCCCACCACGCCAAGCGGCGAGAGTGCGCCTGGCCGGCCCCAGCTCCTGGCGCCCCTCTCCTTCCAGAACCCTGTCTACCAGATGGCCGCCGGGCTGCCGCTCTCCCCCCGCGGCCTGGGTGACTCTGGCTCTGAGTGCCACAGCTCGCTCAGCTCCCACAGCAACAGCGAGGAGTTGACGGCCAACAAGCATGGCTTCGCCGCCCCCGACCGTGCGCCGGGTGGGCCAGACCCCCACCACGCCAAGCCAAGCGGCGAGAGTGCGCCGGCCCCAGCTCCTGGCGCCCCTCTCCTTCCAGAACCCTGTCTACCAGATGGCCGCCGGGCTGCCGCTCTCCCCCCGCGGCCTGGGTGACTCTGGCTCTGAGTGCCACAGCTCGCTCAGCTCCCACAGCAACAGCGAGGAGTTGACGGCCAACAAGCATGGCTTCGCCGCCCCTG